AAGCCGACACAGCCGTCACCTCCAAAATTCAGTTTGCTGCTCATCTAAATAATGACCAAACGTTACCTTTTTAGAATGCTGGATGGGGAGGCTGTAATTGCAATTGCACTTCTATTTTACTGAGTCAAATCATTTCTCTGCTGAGTCCAAGACGTTACTCGTGTGCTCCCTGTGCATCAGAAATGCACCGCATTGACACCGCATTGACACCGCATCGCACAGTTGTAAGACAACCGGCTCTTCCCCACGGCTCCCTTTCCAGCTAGCACCCCAGGAGGTTTTAATCCAAACGTGCTTGGAAGTTGTCCAGGGTGGAGGTTGGCCAAGCTGTCCAAACCAATCTATTACCCAAAGACCTTTTATTTTCCTGCAGCTCCTGCAGGAGGGCCGAGGAGCCCCGCAGAGCTTTGCATCGGGGCTCCCTCGCCAGAGAAACTGCTGGAGAACCGGAGCTGCAGCCCACGGGAAGAGCCCCATCCCTCCTGGAAGGAGCTTCAGGATGGCTGGTTTTTCCTTCCAAGCTGGAGCACAATAAAAAGGATGAGGGAAAAAGGCAAATGGATGCACAGAGCACAGCGGATTCAGTTGTGCAGATGCCGATTTGTCGTCAGCCAGAACAGAACAGTATCTTTTTCTTACCTCCATAAAGGAGCCAACTGTTTATGAATTTTGAAATACTCGCTTTACTAAGAGAAAGGAATCTTTATGCTGAGCGGCAGCTATGGAGATTGGTATGTTTATTTAGAAACAAACAACCAAATCAAAAGCCCCACCAACACAAAGTTAAGGCAGTTTAGCTTGTTCCAACTGATCACAGGAAGAAAAAGCAGAGGTAAAAAGGAAAAAGATTCGGGTTTTGCTCTTCGTTGCAATTAATGTGCAACCTTGAGCCAGCTGCTTAGTCTAACAGGCTTAAGGTTTTCTGCTCATGAAGCATTAATATGTGCCTTTTCCTAGAAAGGAAGGCTGTGCATAAGTCTTACTGTGTCAGATTAAACATCCCAAAATAGATTTTTTTTTCCAACCAAATAAAGTGTTTTATTCAGATATTCATTTGAATATGGCAATGATTTTAAGAACCGCTATTCAAGTAGCTGAAGTGAAGCCTTCAAAAGAAGTCACACAGCTTTGAGGCTCGAACAAATTATGGTATGATCTCATCCAAGGGATCTAAATAGCTGGAACATCTGCCAGAGCCACCATCAATTTATTTAGCAGGGTTCATCAGTAGTTCATCAGCTCTGTTTGCACAAGCAGGTGCTGGGTCAGTCAATGAGGAGACCTATACATGATTTAAAAAGAGGAAAGGGGGAGCAGAGGGCAAGAGAAATGGTGATTTTTGCTATCTAACACGGATGTGCTGATGGCAGGAATGAAGCCCCTGTCAAATCGCAGCAGTGGCTGTTACTGGAAGGAGAGGGGCTGAAGTTCTTTTCCCCAGAGAAGTATTACATGCACAAGTAACTATATTGTTAAAAATTTTTATTCGTGACAGTAAAGAAACCATTCAATACCTGATTGACAACACTTCTCCCTTCTGCAAACACTCACATGGTTCTGTAGTGTTTCTCAAGTATCACTGGATTGTTCATTGCATTGAAGTGTAAACAGCTCCATTATTAGAGGAAAAAAAAAAAACAAAACAAAACCCAAGAAACATATCCATTGCTTACTCCTCTGTTAAGAAGTTCCCAACAGATCTTTAACAAGAAAGAAAGAAAGGAGAAAAAAGGGAAAAAAAAAGAAAAGGTCAGCTGGATTTTTACAACATCATGTGAAACAGAAGACTGACAGCTGGTTTTGCATAGATAGCCCAGAGATTTCTAAGCAATTCCCCCAGCAAGCCTCACCTGCCCTCCTTGCTGCACAGAGCACCTTGGAAATCAGAGGCACAAACTTGGTTTTGTTTTACAAATAGGGCTGTGCGGGACTGTGTTTTATTAGTAAAAAGAACCTGTAAAACAGAGGATTACGTGTTGGTAAATTATAGAGCTACAGATTTTTCTTTTTTTTTTTTTTACACTGAAATTTCAAAAGCTGCAACATCAGTACACACCAGTGTCATTTAGATACTTTATTGTCCCCGACCACTCTAATCAAAATCATGCTGTGATAAAGTGATTGAACACACCGATATCCAAACCTCGCCAGGTGCCGAGCTTCCTCGATGAGTAACTTCGCTGTTCAAAAAAGGATCAAAGGGCAAAACAAGAGACAAATTATTCTTCCAAAGCTACCTAGATGAACACAGCAATATTGTACATTTGCTAAGATCGTCCATTCAAAACTTGCCACATTTCCTGGTGTTTAGCAAGTATTTTGTGCACAGCCCTAGTTTACAAATGGCAATTTAATCATAACACTTCAGTTGAATTTCAAGGATCTAAGGCATTCTGCCTTACAGCTTAATTAAAAAAAATACCTATACAGGCAAAAAACCTTTTTTAACCCAACATAAAACGGACAAGAAAACTTCAGGTCTGGCAGCATTTCTTTAGATGCACTGAAAGAGCAACTGGAAAAAAAAAATTTAATACTTCTCTGATAACATCCAGCCATATGCCTGAAATCCAAGGTTGTTAACAGCCCTGGTGACCTGCATGCATTAACTGCACTTTAGAATATGCAAGAGATGTAGGAAATAACATTTTTTTCCTAGTTCGATTTGCAAAAACTTGTACTTAAAATGCAATCAAAATACCCGTATCACAAATTTTAGAAACATTCCACTCATTTAACTGGCTTTATTGTTATAACTATATTGCTCTTTTTTTTTTTTAAATCTAGATAACTTTAAATATATAGTACATAGATAACCAAGCAAGCTTCAAACTTGAAACTTTAGGTATGACAAATAGAGCCAAAATAAACATAGTTTGATAATATGATCCCCTGCCTAAATTAGGGACACTAAGGAAAGCCAAAACTTGATCTTAGCAGAACGGTCCCAGTTTTATGTCAATGGGAATATAAAAAGTCTTCATTTTGCAGTGAGAATCAACATGATTAGAAATCTCTATCAGAAACTATAGAAAATACTCTTAAAATACTAGCACAGATCAAACCTGTTGCTAAGTGTGACCTTTCGTGTTGTCACCAAGTACCACTTTGATGCTTTTCTTGGTTATAGCACAAGTGTTTTCTGGAATCTGGAATATTTCAAGAGCCCAAACAAATAATACAGAACAAGTACGGTTGTACAGAGGTCACCAAAACAGTTCTTCCAGATGCCGAAACCGAAGTTCAGTTGTCCATTATACGTGGATTTTAAAACAATACAAGACACTTTAATAATCAACATTCATTCACAGACTTAAGGCAACTGGTTCGTGAAATCGCCGCTTTCACGGACGCGAAGTAACGACACGGTCTGTCTCACGTACAACAGGTCGCAGCCGCGAAATGAAAACATCTCGGGGGTTATTTATTGTCTAATTGAAATATTGTTTGGTCTAACGCTAGTGAGAAAAATCTTTGAGTTTTTCCAGCCATTCCTATCATACCTGCACAGTTAACTACAACCTGAAGACTTCCCTGCAAACTGCATTTGAGGCCCGGAAGCGACAAACACAGTTGAAAATACTGCTCAGAGAACAACTTTTTGGCAGCTTAATAGTTTCATTCCTCTGAACAAAAACAAAATCAAGGAACCTTGACTGAACCTAAATGTTGATGGACTAGCCAGAATCCTTTTTTTTTTTTTTTTTAAATACAATAACTTTTTAAAATTTATTTGTCAGTTCTATCTTCCATCGTGGCACAGAAATATACAGTACTAAGGTAATGCCAACTGGTAAGAAAACACATGTAGAGACTCATGAGTGTCATGGAACTGCCTGCAACACCCTCCTGCCAGCAAGCACATCTGGGGCACATCTGCCCTGCCTGATGTGGCACCTCTGGCGAGCTGCTTGCTGCCCATGTGGCCGCTCTGCCCTTTGGGAATGGTTTAAGCTGCTCCACCAATGCTGTGGACAAGGGTTTGCAGCCCGAGTCCGTCACCAATTGTGTGGCCTGTTGGTTTTCCTCCAAGTCATGAAGACTTTTGCAAAAGAATAGAGGGGATCGGCTATTCGGCTATTCGGAATTTAGCAGGAGGCCGGTTAGAAGCACCGTAGTTGTAATTTTGATGTTTGTAGATTTCTGGTGCAAAAAAAGAAAGAAAAAAGGTGACACTGGAAAGGAGAAAGAGAATGTGTGCCTTTTTCAAAATGCTTAAAATAGTTAGAAGTTACATCAGGGTACCAATGACACCGTAAAACAGTAAACGCTGGGCAAATTGAGGAAAGGTTTTAGGTAGCATTTTAAACCTCTCGGAATTGGAGAGGGAATCTCTTCAGCTCCAAAAACAGAGAACTTTAGAGAAAATTCCTGCTCTTTTAGCAAGCTCCCAGTTTGCACCTCACACCTTGGGAGAGAAAAAAAAAAAAAAAAGAAGAAGAAAATGCAGGGAAAAAAGAAACCCACAGAGATGATAGGGGGAAGACTTTAATCCAATTGAGAGGAAAAAAAAAAGGAAAAAAAAGCATCCTTTGCAGGTCACCTTTAACTGAGTTCTCTGGTATATCAGGTACCATCGGATTAATACATTAGGGTGGGTTATGAAGCCTGCATTTTATTTATTGCCCAAGTTTGCAGCTTACAGAAAATGTTTCATAGCACAGGCACAGTGGCAAAAACAGTATAACAGCCGATGGTCAACTCCATTTGGTGAGTATACAGTAGCAGCAATTAAAAGAAAAAAGTACTCAAAACAGCTCAATACAGATCCAGCTTACCCAGATGGGTCTTTTTTTTTCGTAAGAAAAGAATTTTAAACTAATAAATAGCTCTCCTACCCATTCTCCCAAATAACCATTTTCCAAGTAATGATATGGCATGGCAGTTGTGCGTAAGCAGAGACAACAGAACTTCATCTGTCTAGAAGAAAAAGGTGCTTTAGATCTACTCACCACCCTTTTTTTCAATTCCATCATTCCTGAATACTCAAGCAACTGCAGATATGTCCAAAATCAGATCAGTGAAACAAACACGTAACGCAGATCACCCCTCCCACAGACTCTTAACCTTCTGAGCATGACAAAATGTAACACAACTCAATGTCAATGTGGAGACAAGAACCCAGCATCTTTGTTTCAACTTTTTCCTTTGTTATATATTACAGTGCTCTATAAAATTTTTCCTTTTTCCTTTTAAAGCATTTAGACAATACAAGACTAAAAGATGTCTGGAAATACGTCTTATACAAAAATGAATTTTTATCTTAAAATAACATTCAAAAAGGCACTTCATTCTGTAAGAAAAAATTCAGAGTCAGGTCAACTGCTCTAAGCAGGGGGGTGGGTAAAATTGTCTGCATAGTGGGAGGGGAAGAAAGGGAGAGAAATTAACTGCTGAAATACAAGCTTCTTTTTTGGCATGTTTTAAGAAAAGCTGATCCAGTAAAAGGTGTCCATTTATGAAATTCATTAAAAGAGTTCCATTTAAAATAGCTTCTTTTTTTTTTTCCTTAAAAAAAGTAGTCTGAACACGTGACCTTAGGAGTCAGGCTTCTGAAGGCTTAATAGCATCCTCATGATTGTCCTTCGTGTACAATGTAACAGGAAGATCAGGAGTAGCACTTCTGATAGGAGGGACCTCCCCAAAGCTTACGCTGGAAAGAGCTGAAAAAGTTGGAGCCAGCCTCTAGCAACTGCAACCTAGTAGCAGAAGTCAGTCTGAGTTAAGGGCTACCTGTTGCAGAGTTTATGAAGCATACTGTAAACTTCTTCCTCTTTGCTTAGTCCTTCAAAGAAAGGAATAAGGTCTAGCAGCTCCGTGTCTGTCATGTCATCAAACCAGGACTGCACAGGCACCTGAAATGAAGCAAGCAACAAATATTAAGATGACTTTGTGGTGTCAAGGAAGCCCAGGAGAGCTTGGCCCGTGTGGACGTCCCGTAGCTCACTGCTAACAGGGTAAAGCAAGTTGTTAGGCGCGAGGATTGCAGGGGAACCCCAGGCTCAGGCTCACGTCCTCTCGCACGCAGTTACACACAGCGCATTAAATCCAGATGCAGAAGCAGCAAGAGACAGAGCTGACCTTTTTCTACATAGAATATGCCAGGTAATCTACAGGAGATGACACCAGGCAGCTCAATTTGTTCCACCCCCTTGGTATTTGGAATACAGTGGAAGATACGTTTTATGAAGCTGTCCTGACATTCCGCTTGGAAAGAATTATTTACGGGCAAGTCACTTTTTCCTTTAAGTATTATCAGAGTGAGTCACTAAACATAGGCATGTGGCAGCAAATCCCTCTGACAAATGAGACTGAGGAAATATTTAAACAGTTAGTACAGAGGATTAAAATCTAAGACCTTGAGAGCAGGTTCAGAGAAAAATGTGTATAAAAGCCCTCCTTAAACACGCAGGCTGGATTTGGGGAAGCGGTTCTGTATATCTTCCCTACATAAATAGGCTCAGGTCTTTGCAAAACTACTTGGGATCTAGTTATGGGTTCTGGTTTCTGCAGAGACTCGAATATCATTTAGCTAGCAGCATTTTTCCTGTACATGACTAAACTATTCAGATGAGGCCCTTGATTTCATCTCCCGACTTTCTACAGCTCATTATTTTCTTGGCACTGAATTCTGAGACAGTGAATTACGATCTGCATCGGGTCTTTAATTTTAACCATGAAGATAACAGCTCTTGGTTATTTTAAATAGCAACTTTAAACCACGTGTGGCACCAACCAGAAGCAGGTTCGTTTAGGGCAGAGTATTACAATCTGGATTTAAAAGATGATTGCTGTAAGACAAAAAAGCTCACTTAAAATGCTATTTATGTAAGAAGCTGAACCATGCAAACAGTGTCCCTAACAAAAACTTCATATGTTAATTTTAACAGTTCACACGCACTCATATAAAAGAGTAGAAACACAAAAGAAAACATTACTGTGTTTTGGGAAGTCAATAGATCTAAGGAAGTTCCATCCAGCTTGTTATCCTGGCAGCTCCAAACAGATGTGAGCATCTGTTCTGATTAGCAGCAACTGATGGAACAAGTGCCAGGCCATTCCACTACAGGAACTGATACGAAACACATAATGGAGCAGTGGGCACTGCTCCTAATTATTTTCTCTTTAGGTGCTGTTGCTTGCATTTTACCCTTCTGAAACCCAGTGAACTTGTTGACTAATACTTGTAATCATGAAGTAAGCTGTCAAAAATACTCAAAAGGAGAAGCAAAAAAAAAGTGCAGCAGGATCTTGTTTTTTTTTTCCCCACTAAGCCATGAATAGAGTACAGATAGTAACCAGTAACACTAATTATCCTGACTAAAAAGAGGAAAAAGAAAACATTCACACAATGAAGGAGATGTAGTACCAAAAGCAGTTCAAACAAGCCATCCTTACTGTAAGCACCACTCTGAGGAACAAAAACTGTGCTGGAGGGCAACTTCGCTACTTAGAGCTCGGCTAGTTATGCAGGTTCTACACTGCTTGGTATTTTTCAAGAACTGATAGACTTTTCATGCCAAAAGCTAAAATTGGAAACAGATGAGCAGTCATGATTATGACACACTGCCAAGATGAGTTTGCTCTAGTCCCTTCACCGTTTGACAGGGAACACTGGAACTTACCTGCAGCCTCAATGCAGAAACTAATACAATTAACATTTTGAAAGTGTATTTTCTGAATCAGAAAGTCAGGCCAAAGACCAAAAAGAGAGAGTTTCACACGAGTATCTTAAATATTAAGAATACTTACTGCATTTTCGGGATGGAAGATATAAGATGCAGGAGAATTATCTACGATAATAACTTTACTCAGCTCACGTCCCAGTCGACTCAGATCCTTCACGTAATTTCCTCGGTGGAAAACACAGGATTCTCTGAAGAGTCTTGCCCTGAACACACCCCAGCGATCCAGTAAGTCTGCTACTGGGTCTGCATACTTAAAAACAGAAGCCAGAAACCTGAAGTTACAATCTGCAAATATGACCAGTTCACAGCACCAAAAGAAGAAGGGATACAAGGTAATTTTGTACGTTTTCTGATTGTTTTCTTCCTTCCTAACAGCAAAGTACTAACAAAGTTGAACTGTTTGGTACAATGATAACACAAAAGTGGAACAGTTCTCTAAAGAATGCAATGTGCACCCTAACGTCTTCTGTGCATTATTAATTTGCTTTTATTTATAGGGTCATCCTATAATAGTCCTTTCATACCTAAAAACTGATGGATCCAGAGACTTCCCCTAATGTTACCATAATGTTACTGGCTTTATGGTTTCATAAAGCCAGTTCACAGCTGATTCATTTCCATGTGCATCTGAAGACAAAATGCAACAAAGGCATCTGACCTTGACGAAGCTTTCTCAAATGATGCCCACAGAATGACTGGGACGGTAAGAATCTTAAGATTATCAAACTGCATAACGGGGTCATAAAAGATCAAATAAAGATGGTATTAGAAAGAACCGCCATGTACAAATGATATTTTAAATGAGGCATGACTTTGGATCCAAAATGAGATAAAAACTGTTCAAGCAAAAGCAACTAAATGAGAAACTGGAACATGAGTGACTATATGCTTCAAAACTGTAGTTAGCATTTATTTTTGCAGGAAAGGAGCTTTGCCAATCTTTTAAACTGAAAAAAAAATTAGTGAGGTCAATCATCTGCTGCCTATGAAAGCTGCTACATAGATAACTGCAGTAAGAAGTTGTTCCATTTTTTAGGATTTTCACTGTGTGATTGAACAGACAGATTGAATAAATAGGCTGCAGGGAAGAATCCTCTAATAGTGAGGCAATCTTGTAGATCAAACAGGGCCCTGTCCCCTCCCACAGATCTCTACAGGCTTAAGGACTTGCAAAGACTGATATATTATAAACTTACACTGCTAGAATGGTATTTTAAAATGATCCATATAGTTTTAGAACAAGACACCACAAATACATTACACCAAAAGCATTTAAAATGTCTACTGCCATAACATCTACCACAAAACTACCTACAAGGTACTACAGCTAGCAAGGATCAGAGGGCACAAAATATTGGTGTTGACATTTCAGGCTTTACAGTGCCTAATTTTCTAACCCCAAATTATAATTGCACCTCGACAGCACAAAAGCGTGTTGCGTATTTCCATACCCAAGTAATTTCTGAATCATTGGCTGATTATGCAGATAGTGTTAAGCACAGTGCATTTTATTCCATGCCCAGCTTTAATACATCGCTTTAATCGCACGCTATTTGTGCTAATTTCCCACGATAACCATGGCAACTTGTAAGCCCTTCATATTGGCATCATGAGCAACGCATGGAGGCTACATTATGAGACGAGCCCATATGTGATATTGTTACCATGGTAGCACTTACCCACACACTAGCAGACAGAGCACACACTGCCAGACAAAGAAGCAGAAAAGAAGGGGAAAAATTAAGATAGAACCAACTATGGAAATAGTTATCCATAGAAAACCCACTCTAATGTCCCCTAACCAGCAACGTTAAGTGCTACTGAGAGGCAGAGACCAACAAACCTTGGCTAGACTGGCTGTGAAGAGTACACATTCAAAGAGTTCTCCCATCCTCTGCAGAAACTCATCCACGTGTGGTCGTTTCAATACATAAACCTGGAAGGACATGGAATATTTAGGCCACGTGATGTTCACGATAAAGGGAGTGAAAGCAAACAGGCAAATAACCTGCCCTGCACTGCTGTGATGCTAACACTGGGAGAGACAAAGTCAGCGCACAAGCAGTTCATATACAAAAAGCTGAAAGAAAAAATAAGGCATACAAGATAAAAGGAGAGGTACAAAAAATGGGAGATTTGAATGCACGGGCTGCAGAGACCTGTGCTGATTATGCAATAGCAAACACTGTGCAGCTTCTGCAGTGATGCGTTCTGAAAAGCTCATTAAAGGCAAGAGGGACAGCGGGGCTGCTCCAGGAACCAGGATTCGGATCTCTCAGCTGAAATGATTTTGGTGATGCTGCTTTCTTCCATCCCGAGCCGCACACAAAAAGTACATCTGCAGAAACTGTTATGATAATAGGAATTGCACAACGGGGAACTGTTTTCTTCCTGTGGCTAATTCTTTCATTTTCTACATTCCAGGCGCCGAGCACCGTTTCGCACCACAGATAACTATCAGTCACCTAGAGCTATTCAGCCAAAATTTCCATAGCACCACTCAACGTGCACAAATGTGGCTTTTAAAATTTAGTGGCAAAGCCTACGTCTTCATCTACTGTAGTCTTACCATAGATATTCATGGCATGTCTCATCTTAAATAAATATTCTCAATTTTACTCCCTTTAACAAGGGAGTGATTCTGCCTGTTTGCACTGACAACCACAGGTAGCTTGGTTAATATTATTGATTAATATTAAACTGCCCCTCTGAAGATGCTTTGCATTCAGAGATAACTCCTGTCCAGAAAGTTTAACATTAGTTCAAAATAAGCTTAGACGTTGCAGAGGGGAATCTGTTTGGAAAAAAAAAAAAGTATTTATCTTGTTTGCAGTTAGATTAAAAGTTTGAGAAAACACTAGCAATATTTTCTCAGTTTAGCAAGCAATCTATAATAATGGAAATATCAACAGAAAAGCAATATATAATTAGAGTCAAGAAGCACAAACACGATTTAACTTCTGAAATTTCATTCTTCAAAACGTAGTAGATTAATTGTATGCCTTTTCCTAGATTCATAGTAATTAAAAGGCAAAGAGCAAAAGCCACCCAGAGAAAAAGCCTGGAGGAGAAATATAGGGCAATGATAGCTTGAAGTGTAACAATTAAAGCCTTTAGTAAAACTTTGCATAACAGGGAACAGAAATGGAAAACCAAAATGTAAAGTTTTATCAAAAAAAGCATATGAGAGCTGTACATTAATGACTACTGCAAAAATGTTAATTATTTTTTCACTTGATGCAGCCCACAGCTCAAAGCATGGGGATTTGTTTTATAAGCTTTTCTATTAAGTTTAGTTAAACTAATTCTGCCATCTAAAGACATGCAAGCAATACATTCAAGCAATGCATTCGAACTTCGATATGAAAAACAATTTATAACCTATTTAAAGAAAATATTTCTAAACAACCTCAGCAGGCACCTGACGAATCCATTAAGTGTGACATTGTATGAATTAAAGACAGTTAACAGATGTACTTCAGCATTACTCTCTTCCCAGATAATTGCAATGAAGTTTCCTGTATTTCACTGGGCATAAACCAAGTAATTTCCTCTCCTCCAACAGTGCAATTAATTTTTCACTTAAAAGTAGCTGAAAAACCTCTTTTTTTTTTTTTTTTTGGTAGTAGTAGTAGTTCCTTTCCAAAAGGTTTCTTCATTTTTAAAGGGACAGTACACTCACAGTCAGTCTCCATTTGAGGACTGTATTTGGTTTGCTACTTAAGAGACAAGACGGTACGACGTGAACTACTAATTAATGCTAAAAATTCATTATGAAGCCTTTAGTTCTTCAACCTTAAGCTCTATTCCTACACTTATTTTCAAGAGCACGGAAAGCTAGAGAATGAATTTCCATCCCAAAGTATTAAAATAATTCTCAGAAAGTTCTAGAATCTGGCATTACTTTAACTTAATAAATAAATAAAGCCAGTGTTTTCAGTCCCCACACCAGAGACCCTCCTTTTCCTCTTCATCCCTATCTCTGCATGTGTCAGTGAAGCATTTCCCCTTGGAATGGGAGTACGGGCTGCAGGCCAAGCATTTAGGTGCTTGCAACACAACCTGTCTCCTCCACAGTAAATCAACCCAGCAGCAAAGACACCAAGAGCTTGTTAGCCACAGATCTGTGGACAGAGGTGGATTTCAAAATGAAATATTTGGAATATGCTCTTTTAGTGGTTCGTAGGCCTTCTCTAGCACCCAGCCCATGACAGCTCCAAGGATGGGATTTTTGAAGTACATCCTTGCCCTTTTGCAGTTGTGGCCTCCTGCTCCACCAGCGGGCTCCCTCTGCTTCCCCATTCCACATCTCTTGCTGTTTTTTTCCTTACCTACTTACCTATCCTACCTACTGGGTCCTGGCCAACAGATTTTCTCCTTAAAGTGCCTCTCTAAGAATCTATTAGGATGATGTGTCACCAGATTTTCACTACTTATTCCAGGACAGTAATTGCTAGGACTCTGGATGGATTTTCCCCTCAGCGTTGCTTTCAGAAGCCACACTTGGACCCTGGAAGCAACTGCAAGTTCATGGGTACCCTGGACAACAACATCTCTTTGGTTTACTTCCCATAAAAAGCTCTTTCTTGAACCGATTGTGCAGCTTGTTTTCCTCTCCTCTTCCTCAGCTGGGTTTTCTTCCCCTCGCTTTGCTCGCTGCTGGCCTTGCCTCTCAGTGCTGCATGGTTATTTGTGGCTTGGCTTTTCCTCGGTGCATGACGTCTCCGGTGCAAGGCTCTAGACTAACTGGCTCCTGGCATTTTTTTTTCCCTGAGATTTATACACCATCCTCAGGGTATTAAAAAAATGCTCCTATTTTTTTTTCTTTTCTGTGCTATATGTGCTCACTAAACGATTCCTTATCGCAGTAAGGATTCAGAGAAATGCAGTCTTTTTTTTCTGTGAACCTTACTCTGACAGTTTTGCAACATGAAAAAGGCACTAGGCGTGTTTTCACAGGACTATATATTTATAACTGTTAATGGCAGAACACAAGTAATTATCTTTAATTGTTTTCAAGCATAGAGTATTTCCACGTATGCTTTACATACCTTAAAGCAGTTTCAGTAACCTGAAAAGACTTAGCATTTGCAAACCAAAAGAGATACCCAGCTTAATTTTAAGCCATTAAAAAGAGGACAGAGAGAACAGCCTTTTAAAATCAACTTTAAAATAGTGCGGTCTTCAAGTAATGACAGAGATTCCTGCCCATGACAAACCTCTGCAATCTCCTATTCCCTGGGATAGCTGGATCTTCAGAAGAGCAGGTGGGAGATGAGTCTTGTCTTCTGGCTCCCAGCGTTGTGGTTGCCTCCCAGTGCAAGTAACCAAGAATAGGCCAGTTAGAATGGATACAGCCTATCCTGGATTACTTGAACCAGGTCACAGCCTTGTCACAGAATTAAGGAATTTTGTTCTTTAGGGGAAGAAAGCTTATTATTCAAACTGCTTGGTTTTTTTTTTCTTTTTTTTTCCACCAAAGAGAAACATTTGTACATTATATTCAAAGTATATATGCTAAATAGTTCTATGATCTGGGGAACAGCAACAAAAAAGAACAATTATTAATTGTTAGGAAAAAGAAAAAAACACTTAAAACCTAGTTTTACTCAAGTTATAAATGAATCACATTAAAGGATGGAATTCCAAATAATTTGAAACAAATTCTTCCTGGCTGCACTCTACTCCTGACAGCACGAGGCACAAACTCATTGCAGGCTAATTTAAATAATAGAAAGGACTGATGTATCCTAGCACTCTCCAGCCACCACGGATTAAAGCTATTTTAATGTATGGCTTCTAAAGCCGGGGTTGTGACCACTCTGCACTTGTTAAATGGAAATCACGTTCCAAAAGAGAGGACAAGACTCTGCAGAAACTGAGGTACAGAACAGACTTATCTGTCACCTGCAATAGGCTTCCTCTGAGGAGCACTCTCAGTTGCAATACATTTCACTGAACTTCCCACAATTTCTCATGTATAATTTGGTAGAAGAGGAGAATGACTTTGACTCCTTTAATCAAAGGACCAGAGGAAAATTAGAGAACTGGTCGGAAGATTCAGTTTGCATTAGAGGCACCTCTATTCCAACTGCTATAATTTCTGACACGAAGTTTGGAATTAATCCGTATCTTTAACTGTCTTGTAGATGAACACAGTCTCTGCAAGCATGAAAACATCTATATCAAGAGGAAAGAGAAGCATCTCTACATTCTGTTCTATTTCCTTGTAAAATGAAGTGACCTGGACAAATCCATTCTAACAGACAGGTACGTTAGACTGGAGATGGAAAGATGTTAGAGGGCCAAATGTTGTTGAAAAGCTGATTTTTTATCTAGGGAAGCTGGTTTATACAAGCACCCTTTAGGATGATTTGAACTTCTCTCTAGAAGAACAAGAGCCTCCCTCACTTCTGGATTATGAAACACATCAGCAAGAATCAACTCCTCAAACTACAGACAGACTTCCTGAAGGGCTGCAGTGTTTGCCATGGACACAACCGTGTAGATAAGCCTGTCTCCCATCCCCTGCAATGTGCAGCAACACAGGTTCCTTTGTAAGTGAAGGCACTTCAATCCATCATGCCATAGTAACTGGTATTTCTGTTAGGTGACATTTTAAGAAAACGCAAGTCAAATTTCTTTCTGAATGTCCACTTTCAGAAGAGCATTCTCCAGGTGTGTTCTATGGAGTTGGGTCTAAGGCAGAGCATGGGCACAAAAATAC